TGCCTATGGTAAGTGGCCATCTCTACAGACCGGGCAGGAGCAATCGTTGCCTATGGTAAGTGCCTATGGTAAGTGCCTATGGTAAATGGCCATCTCTACAGACCGGGAAGGACTGGTTCGGGTTCAGGTGTGGCCTGTGGAAGCACGACATCCAGTTCTCGCAGTCACAGTTACTGCATCGAATGGCATGATGTAGACAGATGTCACAGGCTACAAGGCTCCTAGTACCATGCTAGGAGCACAGAGGCACGTCGACCACAATTATAGAGGCATTGCCGTTCCAGACCCTGTCTACAAATTGGACATGACATGTCAGGGTGCCGTACATGGGTGCAGTGAAGGCTGTCATCATACGTACGAAGGCAAAAGCTCACCCGGGCTATCCCTTCATAATCCTCACGGCATAAGGTATGCGAACCACAGGCTAGCTGAGTCTCCCGTGGGTCATGACAAAGCAGCATGGAGCAAGTTTCTCGGGTTTCCTCAGTATTTATTCTTTCTCTATGGGTAGATGACGACGGGGGAGATTGATCCAAAGCAAGGGTGTTTAGCTGCCGCAGGATTTGGTCTGCAACAGCTCGCCCTGGTGGAGACAACTTATCACAGTACAGCGCTCTGTAGGTGATTCATATGGTAATCTATTTTCCTCCTCAGGCTTCTGTGTCTGTCGTTCATCAGGCAAGGAAGAAGGAATTCCGGCTGTGGTTGCAGTAGGTGTATGATCAATACCGCATATGGGACATGCTAAAAGAGGATGTGGCAGATGATGGCACCAGGGTTAGTCCACGCAGTAGAGACACATACTTTCTATGACAGCTTCCTGAAAACGTTGATGACTGTGTGTGTGTGTGTGTGTGTTGAATTTTCACCACAACAGCCCCTACTCCACACCCAGATGAGTATTTTATCCAAAATCAAAGCAGCTTTAGTCTTCGTATGCAGACAACGAAAACACTTCTTGAGTTGAGACGATTCAGAAGAATGAAACAGTGTTACAGTTTTACCTTTATAGCAAGCAACACGGAGAAAAATAGAAGTGTTTAAAAACTTTAAACTTTAAATCCCTTTCTTTTTTTTTTTTCTTTTTTTTTAAGTTTAAAAAACAAACAAAAAAAACGGAACCTTATGATTCCGGCTCCTTTTCCATTCTGGGGAGCAGCAGTCCGGTTCCTTCTTTTTTTTTTATAAAAAAAAGGGCGACAGTCTTTTGATATTATCATTGAGCTGACCGACCCCAAGCAATTTATTAGTAGTTGGTTGCAATTGTCAAGTTTCCATCATCTGGATTCGAACACAGGTCTGTATTTCGACAGTTCATGGGTGTACCCACTGAGCTAGGCACTTGGGTAGCAGCAGTCCGGTTCCTATTCCACCGGCAAGTCAGAAAATCATACAAGGATATACGCACTCACGCTCCTCCCCCTTGTGATGTGGAGGTCCGAAGGACGACATTGATTACTTCCCGGAAAAAGGATGTACCACCCTTCACCCCTGCCTAAGTTAGCCTGATTTACTGGGGATCTGGTCTTTTCCTGTGTTTGGTGACAGAACACTAAAGCCTATCCTGTCATTTCTGTGTCCTGTCCTATCACCGGTGGTCGCATATGTGTCTTATCCTGCTAAGGCTGGTGGGGCAGTTCAGGGCTCTTGGTTTCGCTTGAAAGGGGGATGCTGAGGAGTGGGGGGTGACCGTGGTTGGGTTTAATTAGTTAGTTAAGGTATAGTGGTTGTTGTATTCTGGAGGGTGTGGGAGGGGGGTCTTTATATCCCTCTCTTA